CAATATGAAAAGCTGTTTTCATAATGATAGGCAAAGCTGCATTCCCATTATTTTCTGGCCAGACTTGCTGTATACTCTAACTTAAGAAATAAATAATGCAGAAAAAGAGAAAAACTGGTTCCACATAAATTTTAGGATTATTTATTCTAGTTCTGTGAAGAAAGGACAACCTCTCTCTGGTGATTTTGGGTCTGACAGCCGCAGTATGCCAGCCCTTAAGTCATATGCCTGTTCAATAAATGCAGGTCTAGACAGACCAGAGTCACCATCAGTCCCTGCATGCCCTGGAGTACCACTGTTGTAGAACTTGCCATAGACTTGTCCCACTCACAACCATGTGGTTTGATCGTGGTGGACTCAGATACAAATTAGAACATGTGATCTCCTTTTATCAGCTTACAGCCTGCAATACACTGAATGTTTGTGTCCCCCTAAATTCATACGTTGAAATTCTAACCTTCACTGTGATAGTATTAGGAGGTAGGTATTGCCTTTGACTATTTCCTGTACCCTTTCACCCAGAACATCGTTTCAAAGCAACTTATCTCCATTACCCCCTTCCCATCGAGCCCTCCTATCCTAACAGCTGGTTAATACCTGAAGATACCACACGTCACTCAAGCGGACCTGGAAGGCGCCCTCTGCAAGGTAATGAACAACTTAAGTGCTGACTAGAGCTAGACATAAGAGGAGACCAGCCAGTGAGTGATACCATAGGCACTCCCCAGATATATGGGCAAATCTGCCCCTGACAAAAAGAACCATGCTATAAGGAATGATTAAGGATCATAAAGGCCATTATTACATTCACTTCTAATTGTTCTGTTCCTGCCTCTGAACCAACATGACTCTACCTCCTCCTCCATTGCTCATGCCAACATTTGCCAGCCTGAAACCAGGAACCATCTATATGGGATGAAAAGTGACCAGCAACCCTTGATGCCATCTTAACTCCAATAACCAGTACACTGGGATGAGTGTGGGCCAGCACAGTGGTGATGAGAAATACTTCCCATTTCAGTGATACTCTAATTGCCGTTTGCCCCTTAAGTGGGCTGGACCACCTATGACTATGCCCTAGCTGCTCCACAAAAGCAAACTGCAAACCCTGATAGATTAGACGTTTAGGAAAACACCCAGGAGTTCCCCCCAACTCCCAACCTATCACTGCCTCATCACTGCTTGCTTTCCTCTCTGGCACCGAACTCCTGACTCTGGCAAGTTTTGTTACCTGCCTTTGGCTTACTTGGATTTGATGGCCTTTTGGATTCCACACTTTGTGTTTTGACACTTCTACACGGATTAGAGCTCTGCCTGCTCTTTTGGCTTCAGAATCTTCTACTGCCTCCAGCAGAGACTACCCAATCCAGGCTTTCAGCACTGCTGCTCCCCCCACAAACAAGTACGGTCTTTGGGAGCGGGGACTGGGGAGACTTTTAATAAGATGTGGAAATATTTTTCAGAATTAGATAAAACAGCCTTTTGAAACAATATTTAAAGTTACCACCTCAATATTTAGCAGCCTTGTTATATCAGATTGTTACATCCATAAGTGAATTTGGCGTGGTTGTATGAATGTGTAGGTTCTGAAATCATCTAGTCCTGCATAATCTTGGGAAGATACGCCGCTTGGCTGAAGTCCTAAGCTAGCAAGATCGGATCAGAATGTGTAGTTTTCCCAGCTGTGAATGGAATGAGGAGGCGGCCTAGAGACGTGCAGCAGAGGTGCCCCTAAGGTTGGCATCGTTATATCCCGCTTTATTATAATACACTGTTAGGAAGGTTTTTTTAAATTGAGGTAACATTGGTTTATAACATTATGTAAGTTTCATGTGTACAACATTATATATTGACTTCTGGATACACTACAGTGTGCTCACCACCAGAAGTTTAGTTTCCATCCATCCCCACACAGTTCATCCCCTTTACCCAGTATAAAACAGTAACATCAAATAACGTGAAGAATCAAGAGGCAGTTTCAAGGACATAGCCATCACCAACTGGTGACGTACTGGGGGAGAGTTATCACCATTTTCCTCTCTACAAGCAGCACGGAAGCTGCCGTTACACGTAGCATTTTACTGACATCATGAGTTTAGTCATATTTTTGCAATTTTAGTAATGTTTTATATTGTTACTGATTTTTTAAGTTTATAGAGTTATTGTGCTTTCTTATTTATTTGGCTATTTTTTTCTGTAGGTAAATATTTCTGATTGTATTGGGCAAGTTAATGGAAAATAAGACAAATTATACTATAGGAATACATTTATATTAAGGAATTTCTGTATTCGAAAAGAATACTTCAGGACATGTATAGATCACATACTGTTTAAAAAATAAGTAACTGGTAAATTCCATACGAAAATACATTTGCCCCATATTTATAGTGATGCTTCCTCAGATTTTAAGCAACATGAATCAGATAAATGTTTTTGTCCTTTTATTTCTCTATCTAAAAAAGGAGTCGCCATAAAATAATTCCTTTAAAATTCTTTAATTAGGTATCAATTTTATATCCAGCCCAAGCACATCTCTTTTTCTTTCATTCATGCAGAAACATTTAAGTGTTACTGTGGTGCAACTCAGTCATCTTTGTTATGTGCAAATACATGGGGTGGACCATACAAGATTGGGTGTGGTGGGGGCGGTAAATGATTAAGATGTGCCTTCAAGGAGTTCGTAGGATAGTTGGAGAGAAGCCGGCATCTTAAGTACAAGATTACAACAGAATGTGATCAGCATAACGATAGGTGCATGTAGAAAGGGCTGTGGGAGCAACAAAGACCTTCCCAACGGGGTCAGAGGGCATAGAGCATAAAGAACACTTGGACTACATCTTCAGAAGTCAAAATTTAGCCATATATATATATAGACTGAAAATTCTTTCCAAAGTAGAACACTATCTAAAGCTCTTTCCCATAATTACTCTGATTAGATGATCTGCCTGAACATGTTATATGGCTTCCCTGTCACTGCATGATTTCACTGCCTCCTCATGTGTGTTGCTGCACTGTGACTTCACGCACTCCAAGGGCATTCCATATGGCAGTCAAAGAAAGGGCACGAAGTGAGGACAGAGTGCCTCGCTCAGGGATGTGGCTGTTATATGGCAGCCCTCTTTGCAGGCACATTAGCCTTGTCTCCTCCTATAACATGGGAGAGTCTTTCTTCTTAGGATTCAATGGCTCAACAGGTTTGGAAGGATTTGGGAGGGGAATGCCTCCTTGAGTTCTGTTGCTTGGAGAAGATAGGAAATTTAGCAAGTCAAATGGTAAAGGTAGAACCACCGTGGGAGGTTTCTCTGTGGACAGAGATTGGAGGGTGTGGAGGTACCGAAGCTGAGCAGCAGCTGGAGTGCCTGATAGGATCTCGGCCGCCATCCTCAGGGACTCAGAGGCCGCCTTCTCCCCTTCTGCAGCGATCATCTAGACAACAGGTGTGAACAAAGCAAAGTGATCTTTCTTCTTTGCTCCATGAAGGTTTTAATCACTATTCAATGAGACTCAACAAGCAAGCACTAGCATGTGACAGGGGCTGCAAAGCACAGCAGAGCAGACTGTCTTTTTTCCTCAAGGATCTTGATCTAGGGAGAAAGATTATACTACGAATTGTAATTAGGGGCAGAATTTGCTAAGGACCATGACAAGTATAGATGAAGTGTTAGGGGAGTTATGTCTGGCAGGCCTTGAGAGATGAGTAGGTTTCGCCATAGAGAGAAAAGGTTGGCCAGCATTCCAGGCAAAGACATGGAACCCTGAAAGAATGACTCCCAACTCAGGCCAGCATTTCAGGAGAAAAAGCACCACGATCATCACCCAAATGTCACCTTAAAGCGGGCAGAGAGGACTGGACTCAGAGATCTAGAGGCAACTCTGCCCAGAGGACCACCTTCCTCCCCTTCCTCCTCCACCAACGCTCCAAAGTTATCCTCCCTCTTAGGTAGTTAGGGGTTTTTCTTCACCTACTTTCTGTTCTTTAAGAGAATCCCTCCTCCTCTCCAGTCTTCATTTCCCTCTTCCCGACACCCTTCCCACCCAGCACCTCAGTCCTTTGCTGGCAGCCACGTCTGTGCTGCTCACTGGCGGAGCTGGGTGGAGGCTGTGAGTGGCACAGCCTTGTCCCGGCTCTGGCATTGAGGAAATCGGGCCCTGATCATGGTTGTCCCTCCAGAGCTTGTGCAGAGCTGGGGATCAGGTGTGGGTGTTGTTAACCTGGAGGTGACAGGTGCCAGGGAAAGATGCCAGTGCAAGAGACGAGGGATGGAGTGTGGGGCGATGCCTTTAGGGAGAGAGTGACAGCAAGAGTTAAGGAGGAGGAGGTCACTGTCACCAGCAGCTTCAGAGAGAAAGGGAAACAGGAAGAGAGACGTTGCATTCGTCAAGCTATTAGCACACATTAAGAGAGCAATTTTAATAGAGCAGTGGGGGCATAAGCCAGACTCCCCCCAGCGCCTGGATGAACAGGTGAGGAGCGAAGGGGAAATGTTCTCCATGAGCAGGCCTTCTTTTGGATTCTCCGGGCTCCTAGGAGAGCAGCTGTGCGGGGGTCGGGACAGCCTGCTCAGGGCTGGCTCACCCGCACTTTGGCCTGTCTCTGCGCCTCGGCTTCCACCGCCAGCGAGTGCTGCAGCCCGGCCGGCAGCCTCACATCCTTACTGAAAGACAAAGCGCATGGGGGTCGGTAGGTGTGCAGCACTGCCCTTAGCCGCCGGGGCTTTCATATAGCCCTGCCACCTCCGCCGCCGTCCCTTCATGCTGCACAGCAAGTTCTGATTTCACAGAGGTACCACCCAGACCTCAGCGCAGACGATGGGCAGAGAAGAGCATCTCAAGGGTTAGTGTCTCAACTGCAGGTTTTTTATATCACTGATGCTATAGTAGAGCTATGTTTTTCTCTTTCCAAGTAAAATAAATTTTGTGTTGATGTAGTACGATGATTTGATGATTTTCCCACTTAAAGTTTAATCTAAATCCCAGCTATTAAATTTGAATAATGAAAAACAGCCCCGAAGAGCCATGCTATTAATAATAAGGGAAACCATCGAAGTTTATAAACAAGAACTGATTTTGAAAAGGGTAGACCTGACCAAATAAGAATAATACTTTAGCACATAAAAGATACAGAATTGTATTTGCCCCCGATGGTAACTATAAAAAGTACAGAGATAGAAAACAATCTGGCAGTTCATCAGACAGTTAAATATGGAGTTACCGTATGATCCAGGAATTCCACTCCTAGGTGGATACCTCAGATAATTAAGACCATGTCTTTTCACACAAAAGTTTGCATGTGAATGTTCATTGCAGCATGATTCATAACAGCCCCAAAGTGGAAACAACCCAAATATCCACCAACTGGTGAGAAGATAAACAAAATGTGGTATGACCACACAATGGAATAGTATTTGACTGTAAAAACGAATGAAGTACTGATTCATGCTACGCCATGGATGACCCCTGAAAGCTCTACGGTAAGTGGAAGAAGTCAGACACAAAAGGCCACATATTATGTGATTACATTTATATTAGATGTCTAGAATAGCCAAATCCAGACAGTGAGAGCAGATTAGTGGTTGTCAGGGGGCTGGGGGGTGAGAGGGCAATGAGGACTTTCTGCTTAATGGATGCAGACTTTCTTTGGGGGATGAAAATATTCTGGGAATTAGATGGTAATAGTGGTTGCACCACTGTGAATATACTAAAAACCACTGGGTTGTAATTTAAAATGGTTAAAAATGATGAGTCTTATGTGAATTTTATCTTTAAAAGATGTTAAAATCATTGGAGCTAAAATATTTAAGTAATTTGCCTAGATATTATAGATGTTGTGATATGGCTATGACATAATAGGTTAAATTTCTTCTCTTTCTTCCAAATTTATGCTAATATGGCTACAGCACTCATTCAATGAAAATAATTTTTCAAATAGAAAATTTTAAATAAAACCAAAATATTTCCCTTTATCATATTGTTCTTCCTGGTTAATCTCCTACCCACATTTCTGTTCTCTCCACTTTGATTCCCCAAATACAGGTCACTGAATCCAAGGCAACCTGTGGAGGGAAGAGTTGAGATGTCAGTGAGAACCTCTGGATGGGAGGAGAGCCCCCCTGTGCACTCATGGCCATTGTTCTGTACTGAGAAAGCACATTTCTTCTGAAAGACATTGCATACTTCCCTGTTTCATTTTAGCATTGCAGTGCCTTGCAGAAAGTTGCTTCACATGCACAGTGCCACACAATAAATATTTGTGGCATTGAAGATGGTGTAGTAAGCTGACAAATGGCTCCTAAAGACATCCATGCCCTAGTCCCTTGAACCTGGGAATGTCACCCCAAAGGAGACTGCAGATGTGATTAAGTTCAAGGATCTTAAAATGGGGCGCTTATCCTGGATCTTCCTGGTGAGCCCTAAATGTAATCACAAGTGTCCTTAGAGGAGGGAGGTGGAGGGAGATCCAACCACAGAAGAGGAGAAGGTGATGTGATGAGGTTGCAGTGTAATGCTCTGAAGATGGAGGAAGGGGCCACAAACTAAAGAATGCAGGTGGCCGCCGGAAGCTGAAAAAGGCAAGGAAATGGGTTCTCCCCTCAAAGCCTCCAGAGGGAACCAGCCCTGCTTTGGCCCAGTGAAACTCATTTGGACTTCTGGCCTTCAAAATTATCAGATGTTAAATTGGTGATGGTTTGAGCCATCAAGTCTGTGGTAATCTGTTATAGAAGCAATAGGAAATAATACAGATGGTGTATTTGTGAAATCTGTTCTAAAATGCATTTTTTAGAGAACCAGAGTCTATAGTCTCTCTCTGATATGAGACTCTCTTCCACATAATATTCCCTTGCAGGTGCTTTTACTTCCTTCTGGCTTGTGGCACCCAGTCTCCCCCACCTCCCCATCCCAGGAGTGGGAAGAAACAGAGTGCAGGTTCTGAAAAGGAGGGGTAGGACATGGAGCAATATGTGAGCCATACTCTTTTTCCTTTTAACTTATTTCTGATTATTTCTTAGTGGCTAGATAAATAGTTAGCTTAGTGCATAGGGAACCCTGAGAAGGCTTATTTAGGGGGTGGATGAGAGGAAGGAATGTTGTAAAAAGGCTTCACAGAGGAGGTGGCGACTTAAAGAACAATACGATTTTGCCTGTGGGGAAGAGGGAAGTATTCTGTGCGGAGCAACAGCCTAAGAGGAGGCATGGAAGCACAGAAGTGCTGAAGGCTGGGGAAACACTAGTGGGCTGGCGTGTTAGATACAACTGGGGAAGGACGGCAAGACAGGAGGCTACAACAGCTGGGTCATTTATCCACTCATTTCCCCCCTCCCTAGAAAAAAACAATATCTGGCTGCTGTGTGACAGCCCTGTGCCAGGTACTGAGGACGAAAAGATGAATGAAATATGACCTCTAACATTACGGAGTTCATGGTCTGGGAAGACAGATGTGTGAAAATATACATTATAATTCAACATATCAAGGGTGAGCTTGAATGTCCAGCATCTGGACCTTCCCCTGTATCCGCTGGAGGGGAGGGGTGAGCCGGACGAGAGGCTGAAGGAGGACAGAGGGGAGCACCTGTGAGTGGTCTTACAGTTCCAGAGCAGCAGCTCCCCTGCGTCTCTTATTCCTCTCGTTCTTACTCTCTTCAGCTTCTCTTAGTTCTGAATTCTCCGCTTTTCCACTAGGATGCTAATCCCAGTTACATCGGTAACAAGTTGGATGAGTCACAAATATCTGGATACGTCGTTTTCTCAGCTGAGCATCTGCTCGGTCCCATCAAGCACAGTCATGATCAACGCCCTCCATCCTCAGCTCCTTCTAGGCGAGGTCCTCCTCCAGCTGGACACGACCCGTAGCCTCCTCACTCAGTTCTGGGCCGAGGTGCCCCCGGCTTCAGTGACAGGCTGGGTCACTGGTGGTAACCGCCACTTGACTGGCCCACTGCCCGGAGTCCTGCTCTGCTCTCACCTCCCTTCTGGATGCCTTTGCCAGCTTGTCTAGGTGAGAATCCAAGACGCCTGCCGGGCTGTGGGCCAGGTTGCTCAGCCTGCTGCCTGCGGGTTGCACAAGGCTGCCTGGGAGGCTGCACCTGCTCTCCTCCCCCTCCTCTCGGTCCAAATCAACTAAATCTAGATGATTTGATTGAGTAATTAGTCACGTAAGGGGCTGTGACATCTTACCTCTTTTTATCTGAAAGTCTTATTTGAACTTATCATTATTTCACGTTGCTTGTTTTTCTAACTACATTTAAACTCCCAGGAACCATTCCTTATCATCTGTGTGTCCCACCAACTCCTGTTAAGCCCCACCATCCCTGCCAGCTCCCATTCACCACCGTGTGCTGTGTGGGCACTTTACAGGGAGTCTAAAGCCACTAGGGGAGGTTGAGGGCAAAAACCATGACAATCAGGCCTGATCGGCACAAATCGGTGACTATGACCGGCTCGGGGTCAATCTGGCACCCTCTTACCCAGCTGTCAGCTCCTTGTGGAACAGTATGTTTAACAGTGAATGCATGACACATGGAAAATTCAATAAATGGCCAAGAAGAAAGGAATAGAAGATAAAAGGGTATTTTGACATGCTCAGTGTTTAATTTATGTAAGTACCTTTACATCTTGAGCAATGCTCTTCCTCTCTAGAAGAATTTCAGTGAGGGATCGATGTGCTAGGAGACGCTTCATGGTGGTCTGCACAAGGAACTGCACAGCTTTGGACACGTGAGCGAGACTGCGTAGGAGAAGAGAGGCATTCTCCAGCCGGTAGTAGCAGACGGCATCTATCTCCATTACAAACATGTCTTTGGTTACAACCTGGGCAGAGAAAGAAGTTTGGATGACAGGCCTGGTTCTTGGGCTCCTTTCCCACACGGGGACAGAGGAGCTAAATGTGTCCAAAGGATATTTTCTCAGAGTAAGATGATGTCAAGAAAAAGGAAAGAGCAGTTGGTCCACCCTTTAATCAAAGTAGACATTTTTTGGAAAATTATGGAGTTTTTATTAAATATACTGACGAAAGCACAATTTAAAGAAATCCCGTTGTAAATCCTTTTGTAAAAAAAATCGGGAATAATTTTCTCATATGAAAACATTCAGTTGATTGTGTGTCAGGTCTTTTTAAACCAACGCCAAAAAAAAAAATCTGCTAAAAGAGAATACGTTCTGGGAAAGAAACACTCTAATATATTGAGTGTATACTTACAGGGCAGATTGGTGATTCACATCAAAAGCCCTAAAAGGTGTATGTGCACAGCATTTCCATTTTTAGACATTAATCACAAGGATATATTTTAAGGATTTAGCTGCAAGGATGATATTCACAGCATTGCTTATTGTAATAAAAAATTAGAAATAACTGAATATCAATAATAGAGAATTAGTTGAGTAAATTCCATAGTTACTCTATTCAATTAATTGAGTAAAATCCATAGAATGAAGTGCTATGTGTCTTCAAATAAAGACGGAGAAACATAGCTAATATGTGAAAAGATGATAACAATAGATTGCTGAGTGAAAAAAGCCATGTTTTATAAAATGGTACAGATAGTACCATGATCTATAAATACCTGCCTGTAAATATAACGACATGTGTAGAAAAGTCTGAAAAAATACATTCCAAAATATCAACTCTGTGGGTAATAGGATTAGGTGTAACTTTTATTTTTTATATTTTATTATCTAAAATAAACCTTTTAAAAATATATCACTTTAATTTACATTTCTGTTTACCAAAAGAAAGAATAAGAGCCTCAGGCTGAAGGTGGGAGACAATTTAGGAAAGGCTTATAAATTTGAATCAGTAACAGGAAAATCTAGATGTCATTTCTATTTTTCTTTTAACTTTTAAATGTGGTAAAATACACACAACATCAAATTTACCATCTTGACCATTTTTTTAAGCGTACAGTTCCGTAGTGTTAAGTACATTCATATTGTTGTGCAAACAATCTCCAGAACTCTTTCATCTTGCAAAACTGAAACCTACTGAACAACTCCCCATTCTCTCCTCCCAGCAGCCGCTGCAACCACTGTTCACTTTCTGTCTCTCTGAATTTGGCTACTCTATGTTCCTCATATAAATGGAATCATTCAATATTTGTCTTTTGGTGACTGACTTATTTCACTTAGCATAATTTTCTCAAGATTTATCCATGTTGCAGTATGTGTCACAATTTCATTCCTTTTTAAGGCTGATTATTATTCCACTGTAGGTGTATACCACAATTTGTTTATCCATTCAGCCATCAGTGGGCACTTGGGTTGCTTCCACCTTTGACTACTGTGAAAAAATGATGCTATGAACATACGTATACAAATATCTCCTCAATACCTTGCTCCCAGTTCTTTGGGGTATATATGCAAAAGTGGAATTGGTGGATTATGTGATAATTCTATTTTTAATTTTTTGAGGAACTGTCATACTGTTTTTCTACAGTAGCTGTACCATTTTACATTCCCACCAACAGTATACAAGGGTTCCAATTTCTCTGCATCTTTGCCAACACTTCCATTTTTGGTTTTTTTCTTAATAGTAGCTATCCTAATAGATGTGAAGTGGTATCTCATTGTGTTTTTGATTTGCATTTCTCTAATGATTAATGATGTAGAGTATCTTTTCACGTGCTTGTTAGCCATTTGTATATCTGCTTTGGAGAAATGTCTATTCAAGTTTGCATTGAAATGCCTATTCAAGTCAAGAATATATACTATATACCATATATGGAGGGAAATCTGCTTTATTCAAAATCAGCTGATTTAAATATTAATCTTATCTAAAAATACCTTAAAAGGGACATCCAGGTGTATTTGACCGATTATCTGGGAACTGTGGCTTAGCCAGGTTGACACATAAAATTAACTGTTATAAAGGCCTTTTCCCATTTTTAATTGGGTTGTTTGCATTCTTGTTGAGCTGTATGATTTCTCTGTATATTCTGGATATTAACCCCTTATCAGATGTAATATTTGCAAATATTTTTTCCCATTCTATAGGTTGCCTTTTTATTCTGTTGATTGCCTCCTTTGAGATATAGGAGTTTTAAGTTCTTGATGTAGTCCATATTTCTCTTTTTCTTTTCTACTTTTGAGCATAAATAGTCATTTTCCTCTGGGCCAGAATTGATAGCTTGATCAGGGAAAATGTAGAGAGAAAGCAAAATCTATCACTTGGCTTACCTCATGAAAAGGTATCTCCAAGGTTTGGAGACGAAGGTCAACTTTGTGATAGGTGTCCAGGCAGGGCAAAAAGAAGAAAAGGCCTAGAAGAGAGGCAGGGGGAGTGACAGGGGAACGGCTAGCATGGAGGCCATTTGGGGTTCACTTTTTTGGCATCAAGCTGCACATTGCATTGCCTTTCTTAGCCTCCAACCACACATAAACCATTAGGCCATCCTATCTCCACCCCTATAGTGTGTTGTTGGTAAGGTTACCATATAATTTGTTGTTCAACCTGGAAAACTTTTGAGGGTGAAAAGAGAGCACGATTACAACTTACACCAGGACAACAGGCATAAACAGGAATTACCCCCAGAAAAATGGGCTATATGGTCACCTTGGTCATTATGCTGACCCATTCAGCTCTTGGGTTACATATCTATCTCCTTCACCAGATTTAAATTCTCTAACAAGACTCTCTTATGCATTACTGTTAGCCTTAGTGCCTAACTCAGTGCCTTTCAGGTGCTTTGTAAAATTATCGTTGAATCCATGTGTGTACCAAGCTGACAGACTTTAGAGTCATCAACCTCTATGTGACATTTCTTAAAATGTGAGCCCCAGAGGTTATCAGAATAACCACATCAAGATACTAGCCTTCTGATTGGCTAATTAATCCTCACCCACCCAATGTAATGTATAGGATCAATGTTTTTAGATTGATTTATTGAGATTTTCTGAAAGCCCATTGGACACTGTTGGCTTCCGCAAGAGCCAAAGCTTTGCTGGAACCAGCAGCACCTGAGCCCAGGACCCCTCTGAAGAGCCACCCAGCTACTAGCCCTTCTCAGCCCCAATTAAGAAGGGTGCCAAAAACTAGAACCAGAACAAGGTGATCCTTGTCATGGAACTAGAGGGCCTGGCTGTATTTTTGTGTGGATCTATCTGCTGGTTATGAAACTTCAAACTCTGATTTGTGTCTCCTAGTCTGGTCTCTTATTCTCTGCCTGTGTCTATAGACCAGACTTGGAACTTGTACCCTTTCCAATATACACACAGTGGGACTTTGCTCCTTCTCATGTCTTCCTGGCTGGCTTGGATCTCCAAACTCCAACTATTAGAATATTCAGACTAACCATACTTCTGTCTGTGCTCCATAATCAGCTTGGACCTCTGGACACCAACTCTGCAAGATTTTGAGGTTCTGGAGATAAAAGACCATGTCCCATTCATCCATCTTGTACCCCTCGTAGTTAGACAATGTCTACAACACAGGAAGTGTTGAATCTGTATTTCTTAAACTCCACCAACTGAGGGTAAATTTGTTACATGGATGCTGAACTTTGCCTGTCTCACATGGTTTAGTCTAATTCCTTGGATTCTGAATCAGTTCAGCTTTGCTTTAAGAATCCACAGGACTCAGACCACATACACACTCTACTTCAACCAGTGCCTGGCCAGGGGTCCAAAGCCTACTTGCTATTTCAGCCAGCCTGGCTCTGGCATTTGGCTCTCCGCATCCACTCCCTTGGACATGGTAAACTAGTAGTAATGCCCTCCGAAGAGCTTCTCAATAACCTGTGTTACAAGTAACAGATTAGAAAATGAAGATATCATGAATCAAGTTACTTCATGTAATCTGAGGGCCATATTACAAATATGCATGGATTGAAGAAATTGGCAAGTTTTCTGGTGGGTAACAAAGGTGGTTCTCACCAGGGCCTTTGGCTCTTCCAGGAAGCAAATGTCCCAGTCGGAATATAATTACTCTCTCATACTCCTGTACAACCTAAAGGGAAATTTAATATTTTTAATTAAATTTAATACTCCAAGAAAGAAAAATGAAGTCTTCAAAAGACTTTGGCATGAGAGTGATCTGAGGTATAAGAAATTTCTTGTTTTGAGAACGAGGAAAGAGTTTCTGTTAATACTTACATTTCCAAATTATACACTTAATAAATGTAGAATTTTAGACACCAATGAAAAGAATATTGGTCACATTAATTTTTGAGCCCATGGATAGAATTTTGATTAAAGAGTCATAGTTGTCTAAAAAATAATTGCTTCCACCAAATCAAAGAAATCACAGCATATTTATTTAATCTTGTGTTTTGCTGTGGCTGATGCATTACTAGCTTTTACACGTATCACTCATTAACTGTTTAACAGACCTTACGGACCCGATGGCAACAGAAAATAGGAAAGTAATAGAGCAAGTCAACTGAACCAAAAGTTGGGTCTTTGAAAAGATAAACAAAATTGACAAATATTTAGCTAGACTGACTAAGGAAAAAGAGAGAGGATTCAAATTACTGAAATCAGGAATCAAAGAGGAATGACAGAGACATCACTACTGTCCTTACAGAAATAAAACAGATTATTAAGAGAAAATACTATGAGTGATTGATTATATGCCAACAAATTAGATAACTCAGATGAAATGGAAAAATTCCTAAAGTTATAAACTACCAAAACTGACTCAAGAAAAAAAAGAAAGACTAGAAAGACCTAGAAATAAAAGAGCAAATTAATAGCTAAAAAATTTCGCACAAAGAAAAGTCCCAGACCAGAAGACTTTACTGGTGAATCCTGCTAAACATTTAAAGAGGAATTAATACCAGTTCTTCACAAATTCTCCCAAAAAATAGAAAAGGAGGGAAATATTCCTAACTCATTCTCTGAGATCAATGTTACGTTGATACTGAAAAAGACAGAGACATCACAAGAAAACTATGAACCAATATCTCTTATGAACATAGATGCAAAAATCCTCAACAAACTACCAGCAACCTGACTCCAGTAACACATAAAAAGGATTTTACTCCAGAACCAAGTGGGGCTCATCCTAGGAATACACAGTTAGCTAACATCCAAAATTCAATGCTTGTAATATACTGTATTAGTAGAACATAGGGCAAATGTCATGTACTCATGTCAATGGGTGGAGAAAAGGCATTTGACAAAATCCGACACTGTTTCATGAAGATGAAGGAGAAGAAGAGAAAGAAGAGGAAGGAGCGCTTGCAGGAGGGGTGACTCTGACCACAGCCCCCGCAGCATCTGTAGTGTCCCCCCAAGGACGCGCTCTTCCCTGACAGCTCCGGCCAGAGACTAAGAATGGCAGGGCTACAAGGGTCTGGCTGTTTCTGCCCACTGTGGGACTCATCTAAGAGGCAAACTCTGCACTGGAGTTCCCTTTCAGCCTGGCCAAGGCTTTCTTGGAGGTGTACCACAGTCGGAGGCTCTTTCTGTCCAGTCCTTCCTTCCCCATCTCATATCACGAGTGTCAGATCTGCATTATTATCTGAAGGCTTTCCCTGCCTGCTCTTATCCCCCCTCCCCTTAATCCCTCACAAGCAATGTCTCCCCATAAATCCCTTGCACTTCTAATTCCATCTTGGCATGTTCTTCCTGAAATGATGCAGGTTTTCATTCACTTCAGGGACAGCCATGTGTAACCTCCTGTGGGCCCAAGGTAATTGCCATTTGTGGTCTATAGTAGCTGCCTGAGAAGCTTCCTGGAAGTGTCATCATGACCTGCTCTAGGCTGGTCTTTGTGTTACAGGGTGTAGATGAACTGGGTGTATCCCCCGTCCTGAAGTGGCTCTCAGTCTAATGGCAGAGATCAGGTATCCACAAATATGACATGTGTGGTAAGTGCTAGAAAGGATGTGAAAGGAGGGTGACCTGAGAGCACAAGGAAGGGAATGACAGTCTGGGGGAGTCAAGGAAGGCTTCACAGTTACACGGGAGCAGGTACAAAGGAGTAGGAGCTCTCTTAAAAGGTGAGTGGGGGTGAGGGCATTCCATGCCCATGTACCAAAACACAGAAATGAGAGTGGACATCGTCTGGTCAGTGAGAGGCACCAGGAAATTACTTACTGGGTCCACATGGATCTCACCTTTACGCAGAACCAGATGGAAAAAGGGAAGGTCAGGATAATGAAGAGCAGGGATGTGAGGACAAGAAGCCACTCACAGGCCCCTAAACTGGAAGACTTGGTACCTTAGAAAAAAAAAAGAGGATAAGAATAATTATACGAACTTCACCATATTCCCTGACTAGCACTTGTTAGTCCAGCCCTTGGTATTAGGGTCAGAGCAGTTTGCAGACTTTGCCGGAACTCGAGTGAGCTGGACATGAGAGTGGTCAGTTCACTCTGGGGTGCTGTCTGTATGACATAGGCTCCTGGAAAGACAGCAGTGGGTACACTGGAACCAGCACAGAATCTGGGCACAAGTTCTGGTACTAACTGAGGAGGAGGAAGGGACATTCCTGTTTCTGCTCCCCTTTCCTCTGGGAGCCACAGAAGCCTCCCAGACAAGGGCTCAGAAAGGCGGCCTCATCTTTCATGGGACTCAGCCATTGCTTGGGGGTCTTGGACTCTTGTCACTTTATAGTTAGAGAGACTGAGTGAGGCCCACAAGCTGAAGCTACTAGCCCAAGGCCATAGCTAGTTGATGGCAGTGCTGGTACTGTGGCCAGAAGTTAGGAACAGCACCCTGCAAGGATGGGCTTTTCAGTAAGACTGCTTACTCTGAAACCTGGCTTCTCTACTTCCCAGCTGTAGATCTTGGGCAAGTCACTTAATTTCTCAGCATTTTTTTTCCTCATTTGTGACATGGGAATGACAGTACTCAATAAAATACCTACTGTGTGTCTGGCACATAGTAGGGGCTCCAAAAATGGGGCTCCCTTTCCCTGCCCAGCTGATGTGGTCTGAAGCACAATCCTTACAGACCTCTAATCTCAGCATTACTGTAGCATTGAATCCAATAATGCTTTAATGACTAGAAATTTCTAACCACTGAAAGGGCAGAATTAGGCAAAACAGTTCTAACATGGTCCACATAGACTACACTTCAACCGCTGGGAGCTTTTTCAGGTCATAGCTTTCAATGCTGGTAGCCAGGAAATAAAATTTCATAGCAGCAAGTAATATAACACACTATTCCTTATTTACCTTCCTTTAAACCTCCCTCATCCTATAATTAAGGCGTAATGAGTTTTTCCCCTTCTATTCATCATAAAAAGGATGGGAATAAAATAAATTTATTCTTAACAGGAGCTTCACCTGCAGAAGCCAAAGAGACACCTTTGCTGGTGATTCCCTCTTTCGGTCTAATTTACCTCTTTTAAAGGTTGTACAGATTCTGCTCTGAGGTTTTTTGTTTTTGTTTTTGTTTTTGTTTTTGTTTTTTTCCTCCAGGCTTTGGTGAGGGTTAAAGCCCTCTTGTGGCTACTTGAGATTTAAACTGAGATCTGGCTTTACTTGGCTCTGCTGGCTCCCCTTCTTTGATCACCCCAAAGAAAGTGCAAAATGTTTTTAGGTAAGTCTGCGGGGTGCGGATGAGGAGAGAAGAATAAACTACATAGTTGCCCAGAACCAGCTCATGCATGCCTTTCCTTTAATTAGGTGCCCATATACCCTCCCATGGCCACAAAACCAGCTGCATGGTTCCTTTGGCACGTTTATTGGTTCCCAACCTGGACCACACTCCCTCCCACATCCCATCCACGGATGGCCCTTGAAAACAAAGGTATTTAATTGGTGTTATTTTTATTTCTTCTGATGCATTTTGGTCTCCACCACTGAGGGACTGGTGGGTCCTAACTCATGCATTTCACTTCCTGGGAATCTGAGCAGGCCCAGCAGGCTGCTCTGGCCTCGAAGGTTTCGGTGCTGTGATCCATTGTACCTAATCTGACATCCCCTGAGTACCACCTGGAAAGGCTGTACCCTCCCCCAAGGCCTCGACCTGCCGCTGTACGTACCTTCCTCGGGCCGCTCGCTCTCCAGCAGCGCCACCACCTCGGTGCCCTCCTCGCCGGAGCCCCGGACCTCATCCACGTCCACCACGGTGGCTGCCGGCGCCCGGGGCTCCTCCCGGCTCCCTGCCCGCCCGAGGGCCGGCCGCTCGGGGCCGGCATCCCGGCGCCCGCGGGCTCCGCCGCCCTTCTCGGCCTTCGCCCTCTTCTTCTCCTTGTTGGGGGACCCGCCGCCTCTTCCGTGGGCCTCTCTGGAGGAGCTCCGAGCCCTCTTCTCCATCCTCAGAGTCGCTGGCGGGGATGCGGGGCGCGTCCCAGGGGGACTATAACGCCCGCGGGCGGGGGCGAGACCCGGCGGTGCGCGGGCGGGACTCCGCTCACGGTGAAACGGCACAGCTGTTCCTCAGAGGCGCTGTGGACGGAGCCCGCCCCTCCCCGGGACCGGGTGCCCACCTTCCACAATGAGTTTGTGTGAAAGCCCTTGTGCCGGTTTAAGGCATTTACAAATGTGTTTCTACAGATGAAACTTTGAGCCGAAATACCACAGAGGCCCTCAAATCGCTGAAGGTGTGATGGCGCTTTGCTTGGTGGTTTGTAAATATCATAATAGAATACGGTGTGCCGTCTTCGCATAAGGCTAGAGAGCTTAAGGGAACAGAAAAAGTCATCAAATTAGGGTAACTTTAAGGTGAAATTAGAAACTTCTTCCTAAGCACCCCTTTCCCCTTAAGGTCTCCGCAAGGGTGCCTTTCCCCTCTCCCTTAATTTATTTTATGCCCTGGCCCTACTCTTCCTACTGAGGTTTTCATTCGTGGTGGTGTTGGCAGAATACTCCTGGGAAGATTTACATTTTAAAAGTGGAGGAAGGAACGTTCTTTCAGACCTCTCTCTCACTTATATATACTTATTATTATTTTTTACTAATTTATTATTATTTTTATTAATGCTTAACCCTGTTGATGATGTAATACTTCTTGAAGAATCAGAAGAGAAGAGATCTGATTTAATTTCCGTTTTTAGGAAGGGGACACTTTTGTCCTTGGTGGGGGGCTCCTTGTTCCCATGCTTCTTTGGTGAAGGCAGGAGTTTTGCTTTTTTTTGAAACTGTTTATTTTCCACCAACCTATTTCCATTTTAAGAGTTTGTGGGAAGAACAGCTTAAGACCACTCAGTGATTGTTATGACCCACTCAATGGCCTGAGCAGTGGGAGCTGCAGACCAGTCTTCAGTGACGGGCTGAGCACTCCAGTCTTCAGTAGGGAATTGCTGAAAAGGCACAGAGGACACCTGCACGCCTTCAGACAAGTCTGCACGTCAGGTTGAGTAGCAATGAACTCAGGAGGTGGAGCTGTCCATTCACCCTGAAATTCCTCCTTGGTCACAGCCTTTTCAAGCTGTGGCCTGATCTTCCTTTTCAATCTCTTCAGGATTTCTGCAGGATAGAGACCAGGCGTGACCTCCCATGGGTGTTCATGGGAGATGCTGCAGTGCATATGCAGAGCCTCCCGGAGCAGCCACCATGTCAGAACCACTGAGCAAGGTCCCTTTTTAGGATGTCATGGCAGGAGCCATCAAGCTGGTCTGAAAACAGAAAGGCCAAGTAGTGCCTGAGAGATCCAAGTAGAGTAAGACATAATGCAGAAAAGCAGAAAATGCGGGTCACTTTAAAAAATGTTTCACCTCTTCTAAAAGCTCTCATACATTAAATCATACTTTTAGCAAGTATTACTACCTCTCATTGGGCCAGAGACCCCCTGTGGTGTTAAGCAGTTGATGGGGCAGGGAGGAGGTAATTGCTGCTCATGAATTTTGCTTTTTAAGGTTCACTGGCCATGCTGAATCCAGCAGCAGACTGGGGGCGCTGCCCCACCTGCATCTGAGGAACCTGAAACATTGAATAGATCTACTTCTTTTTCACTCTCTAGTAATAATTTGTTTCTCGCTGAATGGGAGGTTGGTCTACATAACCATTCAAACTGGAGATTTATAACTCTAGCTCAGATCACATTATGGAAGAAATAATGTTCACTAATTTTTAAATTTTTCAATAGTTCTTGAGTTCACATAGTGATAGTTTTATTTCCCCCTCTCAAAAAATGTTACTAAAGAATGAGGACCTGAAGTAACAGACTGGGTCTGGAAAAAGTATTCCACTACTTTCTTCCATTTATTCCAAGTTAGGCCACTGGGGATAAAGTAATTAAAAGATTAGTAATAAAGTAATTTAAGTAGATTTGTTTTTTTACCCTCTAAAACTGATTACTGTGTGGGCCACATAAGGGAGGGCTTCCTCTCAAGTGCCTGACTCAATTAATAGTTCCTGCCCAGAGCACCACATTGAGAAAAATTCTAAAGCTGCATTTGGCCCAAAGGGGGAAAAGTATCATGATTATTTAGTATTCACTCAAAATTAATAGTTGCTATTAAACATAGTTTCTTTATCATCCTGTAAAAATTTCCCTATTTGGAAAAGCATAAAACTGTAGCATTTATTGATTTTTTTTCCCGTTACAAATTAATCTGATCTAGAGCCCTAACTGTAGACTTAAACTAAAGTTGCACCTCAATTTTTGATCCAAGAATCGGTAGGATATCTGGCCAAATGATATTCTCAAAGCTGTACACTGCCTCCCAATACGATAAATGGGTTTCTTCCAGGAGAAAAATTGATGAGAAAAGGCCCTACTTGGTGGTGGGGCCCATGTTGGGCATTTGTTCTGTCTGCTTTGCTATAGGGCCACTGACAAGTTATATAATTGCTGCTTCATTTTCTATATCTATATATAACAGTAACAGAAGCACCTGCTTATAACACAGGTCTGTTGGGATTATGAAGGGTCATGACAACATCTGAGAAAGTGCATAACATTCCACGTTTAAAAAGTCAACACAGCATCTCTCAGGCGGAGGAGTTGGGGAGCGCTGAGGTAGCAGCGTGAGTCTTCAGCTGGCTGGCCTCATCTACTCTTGTCATGATATTGCTGTTTTCTTTTAGATTCCTTTTTAATTGAACATGTTGGTCATCCCTTTGCTGACAATATTATATGTACACATCTTTAAACTCTTAATACTTTAGTCCTTGTTTGGGTTTGTCAGGAGGTTGACCTCTGTGGGAATGGAGTTACTAGAAGAGGGGGAGGACCAATTAAATTTGCTGGCTTTGAAAATGGTGTTCATGGAAAAAGCAGTTAGCTGAGTTTATGACACAAACAATTGCACGCATGTGTTTCAGCATGTAACAGAGTGCTTTATGTATGTTTTCCATTTTTTCATCTAGAGTTATAAAAGGATAAACTCCAAGGTTTGATATTTAATAACAATAAAATTAAAAATTGGGGGAAAAAAGTTACTGGCTTTGAGTTTGTTTCCAAGACAAAGGTCGTGAAAGATCTCATGGCTTTCTAAATTAATATACTTAGTCCCATTTAGTGTCTTGAAATTTCATATCGCATGGATAAATGAAGAGTGAATATTGATTTATATGACTTATTTAATGGAAAAGCTGGAATTCATTATCACTAGGCAAAATTGCAAGTTGTAACATTTTACAGCTGGAAGAAACTACAGGAATTTGACTTTCTCAATTTTTAGATGGCAGTGAGGCCAACCAGGAGAGCACAGCAGTGGTCTAGGAAAGTGATGCTGATGCGAGTTGGATGCTGGCTTTGGCAGTGGGGACGGATTGGATTAGGAAATATTTCTGAGGTAGAGAATCGACAGAATTTGGTGACTTCGCGGGGTTATGAAGAGAGGGATGGTGAGGGATAAAAGACGTTTATAGGCTGAGCAGTTGGTCATAACTGCCGGTGTGTCTGTCAGACCCAATTTCCCTAATTGTACTGCTCTCAAGCATTTTATGTTCCAGCCTTCCTTTGCCTGGAGATGCAGTTATCCACTTGTCAGGTGCAGATAAAACTAACTTAACTTTTCTCTCAATTCACTTCACAGATGCATAGTAAGCACCTACTATATGTTTAGTACTGATCACCTCTGAGGATGTAAAAGTAAGACATGCCATTGAGGAATCTATAGTCTAACAGGGAGAAAGAGGTATGTAAACAGATAGGTGTGATAAAGTGTATATGTTATGATAGAAAGATCTTCAGCAGGGTTTCTCCACCTCAGCACTGCTGACATTTTGGACCAGGTAATTCTTTGTTGTACAGGACTGTCCTGTGTACTGTAAGATCTTTAGCAGCATCCCGGGCCTCTACCCACGACTAGATGCCAGGAGCACACACCCTTATCCCTCCCACCAGTTGGAGCAACCAATAACATCTCTAGACGTTGCCTAGTGCCCCTGGTTAAGAACCACAGATCTATAGGGCAGCATGAGGACACAGAGGAGGGGGTAAGTAATTCTGCCTGGCTGGAGTCAGAGGAGACCCAGTTTGAGCCACATTAAGAGATGGGCGGTGATCCTTAGATGAGCTTCAAGAACTGGTCCTTCCAACCAGATTAAACGGCTACCTGAAATTCCCATAGCTTTTTGATAAGCTTTAAATACTTTTTTGTCACCATGAATGAGAAACGTATTCACACAATTTTATGTTTTAATTTATGTTTATTCATTTCCAGCGTTACTGCAGTATATTTGACAAATAAAAATTGTACATATTTAAGGTGTACGTATATATTGTGAAATGACTTAAAAGTTTTAAAAACCATTTTTTGAACATTTAATTTACAACGGTTGAACAAAGAACTGAACGTTTTCTTTCATCAACAAATGTAATTTTGATATTTCCTATGATGATACAAGTGGATTTCAAATCCACCGAGCTTTTCCCTAACGAGTATTTCAAAACAATGATGAAACTTGAGGGCCCAGCACGCGCATTACTAGTAAGGGCAAGGGCCGCGCAGCTAGAGCGGAGGCGGCCGGAAGCGGCAGACGTGCGGGGCGCCTGCAGGAACCCCACTCCCTCC